TTCCTGCAATTAATGGACGTTTCTGCTATATCACCTCAGGCACAAATCATAAAGACATTGTATTTATGTACTGAGGTCTTGTTTCTACTAAAATGTTTTGGTGCATATTTTGAATAATTTGGATTATGCCCATTTTCTTATCAGTGGAACCTTAATTACGGGCTCGGTCAGCGGTCTTTTGTATTCTCTGTAATATTATTGTGTCATGAGTAACATATTCTTAGTCGTGAGTACATAAATGATGTACTTAGATGTGTTCTTAGTCTTATACTCATTTTAGGTGATGGGTTTGAGGACCAGTGTTCTGTAATTCAGTTATGATACTCTATCTACCATGAGGATCGTCCAGCTAGCTATAAACTCTGCAACAATCTTGTCATTCAGTATGATTTATTGGTTCTCTTTCCGGAAATTAATGGAATTTTATGTTACATCACCTATCTGAGGCTCTTTTTCAAACTATAGATTCATTGTATTTTCATACTGAGGGGTCTTGTTTCTGCTGAAAAGTTTTGGTGGACAGTTTGAATAAGTTACATATTTATCTGTCTGTAGGAGCCAAGCAGTGTTGAGAAAATTATGGAAATTGATGAGCATATTGGTTGTGCCATGAGTGGCTTAATAGCTGATGCACGCACGCTTGTTGAACATGCCCGAGTTGAAACTCAGGTATCTTTTTTTTTTTTAATAATTATTATTCTTATCATTATTCTGTCTAATGTGTTGGCATCACGAATTGTTAAAACTGAATCTTTTTTGGTTTCTAGAATCATAGGTTCTCATATGGTGAGCCCATGACAGTTGAGTCCACTACACAAGCTCTCTGTGATCTTGCCTTGCGATTTGGTGAGGGAGATGAAGAATCAATGGTTAGGCTCTTTTCGTTTCCATCTTATCTTTGAGTATATTTCATAAGTTAGTCAAGGTTTTCTTTAAGTTTTCCCCTTCGTGGATTTATAATGTATATTATCCTCTCTTACTGACGCGGTTCACTCAGCATTTTACCAACAACAACATAGCCTTCACTCAGCATTTTACCCTATAAATAAATTTCTGAACAGTTTGTTATTGCTAACTTTGATTCTTAATATTTTGTACAGTCCAGACCATTTGGTGTGTCGCTTCTCATTGCTGGTCATGATGAGAATGGTCCCAGCTTGTGAGTATTACATCTCATTAATTTGATGGTTATTGCTTCCCTCATGATTCCCGACTTACTTTGAATGTAGCCCCTCATATGTGGTTACACTGATTAGCTTTGCAATTTAGTTTTTCTTAGTTTTGTTAATTGCTGGCATAAATTATTGTATAAAGAATGACAATCTGAAATTCCCTGGAATTCTTTGATTATATTAGAGCATCTCCAATTCTATGACTTTGAAAAACAATGATTTTTAACACACGTCAATTAATGATTGTAATGTTAATCCACGTAGGAATAATGTTAAAAGACTAAAAATTTTAATCAAACTAGTATCTCCAATGCATCAATTTGATAAGGAGTTATTTGTGTAGGTGGACCAATTAAAATAATTCATTTATACAAAAACAATAAAAAATTAAACCAAATATAAAGTGAATGTGAATTGATGAGTCATCATGTTTAACATGGTGTCAGATATTAGAAAGTGGGTTCAACATTTTCAACATTAAATGCCATCCACCTCATCATTAAAGAGTTCATGACAAGATGCACTGAAGAATAAATTATTAATACACTTTCAAAAGTTGAAGATATGAATGATTTTTTATAATGTCAAAAGCCACATTGGAGATGCTCTTAAAGTACTGAAGTAGTTTTGGAGAGATTCTTGCCTGCTAAATTTGGGATGAAAATAAGCTGCAGTTCAAAAATGTGTCTCATCTATATATTCTCAAAGGCTACAGGATTTCTGTTTGTAATCATTATCAGTTTAGATATCTAGTTCGACATCAACATATAATATATGCAAATTAGTAAATGCAACAAAAATCGGATATCCAATTGATTATACAATTTATTATACCGAACATCTTCCTGCCATGTACTAAGTACCCACCAGCCACCATTTGTCTACATTCTCATTGATCATGATTTCCATTCCTTGTCAATCATAATCTCAGGCAGTCCTTCGATTTTTGTCAATTATGTGATCACACCCGAATCATTCTCATACATGAACAACATCAAGCATCTGTAATTTATCTGTTGCATCTTTACATAGCATTTTGGCCTCAATAATTTATTCTCCCACATGTAAAATGCTAATGACAAATTTTAGTCCGACTCAATCACCCTTTCACCACTTGACTGCCAGATGCTTCTGATAATATAACATTTTCCAAAGCTTCATTTCAACCTTTTTTTCTAATTGAATGCATCTAATGGAATGATGTAATGTCCTGTCTGTTCGAACTCATGCAATTATCATTATTATTATTAAAGTCCCATAATAAAGCCTTAGGAAATCATATTGGATATGGCTTATTGACTTCAATCATATGGATCTTGAGTTTTCACTTGCATTGTTTTGACTATTCGGTAAGATCATTTTCTGCTTCATAGTCAGTCACGACAATTAAAAAAGCTAACACGGCTTGTCACGTACAGATACCATACTGACCCATCTGGAACATTCTGGCAATGTAATGCGAAAGCCATTGGGTCAGGTTCTGAAGGTGCTGACAGCTCTTTGCAAGAGCAGTTTAACAAGGTATATTGGTTATTGAAGTGAATTTTTACATCTTTACACATCCACCCTGCAAAAACTTCAGTTATCTTTTGACATTACGAATGCCACCATTAGGTTTTGATATCTGTTGTCGTTGGAGTTTATAATATAGAAACGAGTGCCGAGGGTACATTTATCTTTATGAATGATAAATAGCTCTTGTTGTAATTTGCTAGACTTGAGGAGGCTGATTTTGTAATTTTTTAGAAATATCTCTTTTGTTGGGTTGAATGCAGGATCTAACTCTCAAAGAAGCTGAAACAATTGCACTTTCCATCTTGAAGCAAGTTATGGAGGAAAAGGTACTTTCTTGATCACAATTGTAGATTTTTTGCTCAATCAATGTTGATTAATGCTTTTTTTTTTTTTAATTCCCCTTATTGGTCTCAGGTTACTCCCAACAATGTAGATATTGCAAAGGTATCACCAAAGTACCATCTTTACTCTCCTTCTGAAGTGGAAGCCGTTATCAACCGACTCTGAGAAGCCAAATTTGCATCCATTGGTTTCTAGTGGTTTGACTAAGAATTGACATTTTCGATGTTGTGAGGTTCGAATGATTTTTGTGCTATTTTAAATGATTAGTTGATTAATATCAAATTACCCAGGAAAAACTGCAGATCTTGGTCTGTTCACTTTATTATCCATCGCATGACTGAATCTGGTTAATGACTTGACTGTTTCTGGCCTTTAAGAGCAGATGTTATGAGGACCATGAATTTATATTTTAAATTTAATTTTGTTGGTTCATACTTTATTGTTCACTTCTAATTTTTAAACAGTGAGGGCACTAATAAACAACAGAATTTTGGAACTTCCACGCCTCATGTGTTCTTGTTAAAGGTATTCTCTTAAATTTCTTATCCTATTGCACACAGAGCTTTTCTTTGTTATTAAGAGTAGGATACGTGGGTAAGTAAAGCTCTATTAAAACCAACTGTGAGTTTAGCATAGCTCGTTTGATGAACCAACTGAGTTCGATGGCGTTTATTTAATAAGCTTAGCATGGTTTAAGCTCGTTTGCACTAGGTTATACAAGAAACACAACATTGTTAAGCTTCAATTTGCTCGTCTTTATGCATACATCGCGAAGAAAAGAAAATCGTTTCAAACCAATAGAACCGTTATTAGATAGGTGTAACAGTTACGTAACCATATTTAATGGTTTGGCCGACTCATATTT